TTCTGCGCACCGACACTTCGCTGCCGCCGTTCTACATCCTCGTGTACGTCGACGACTTGGTCTGTGCCACTGCTGACACTGAGGCTCTCGCCCTGGTGAAGTCGGAGCTGCAGAAGAGACACACGTGCACAGACCTGGGTGAGCTGCGCAGTTACCTTGGCTTGCAGATCACCCGGAACAGAGCACGCCGCACCATCACCCTGACTCAGTCACACATGGTGCAGCAGGTCCTTCAGCGCTTCGGCTTCACCTGGTCCTCGGCACAGGCCACTCCTCTGGCTACAGGTCACTCGCTCTCAGCTCCACCTTCGGACGAGTCCGTAGAGCCGAGTGTTCCTTACCCAGAGCTAGTTGGCTGCCTCATGTACCTGATGACCTGCACTCGTCCTGACCTCGCGTACCCTCTTGGCCTTCTGGCTCGCTACGTGGCTCCTCGTCGGCACCGAAAGGTGCACATGGATGCTGCTAAGAGGGTACTGCGCTACTTGTGCAGTACATCGGGCATGGGGCTCGTGCTTGGAGGACGGGGCGACGTTGTCCTCACTGGTCACTCGGACGCTTCTTGGGTTGACGACCAGGCTACGCAGCGGTCGTCACAGGGTTACACCTTCAGCCTTGGCTCTGGTTCAGTTTCTTGGCGTTCTACACGCTCGTCTTCAGTTCTCAGCTCCAGTTGTGAGGCTGAGATCTACGCCACAGCCATGGCTGCACAGGAGTTACGCTGGCTCACCTACCTGCTGACCGACCTGGGAGAGCGGCCTCGTTCTCCTCCAGTGCTGTACGTCGACAACAAGGCAGCCATTGCCTTGTGTCAGGAGCACCGACTGGAGCACAGAACGAAGCACATCGCTCTGCGTTACTTCCTGGCTCGAGAGTTGCAGCAGCGGGGTCAGCTTCGTCTTGCTCACGTGGCCACTCGGGCCAACACTGCTGATATATTCACCAAGGCACTTCCGTCTGGTGATCATCAGCGCTTTTGTACTTTGTTGGGCCTTGTGCCTACGTTTCCACACTTGCTGTAGACTCTGCTTGTACTGTGATCTATACATATATACCTGCATGCTTGCTCTTGCTAGGTAGTGATCACTGTGCTATTGCTGCATATACATCTCTGCATGTGAACTGGCCTTGTGGCCTCTTGCTTGTGCTCAGAGTGTGTGGTGACTTTGTGATCCACCCTGAGCTGTGTTTTGTTTCTTCTCTTGACTGGTCTTGTGACCTTTGCTTGCTCTGGCTATCCCCCATTTCGCCTATGGGGGTGTGTCAAATCATATATGCATGTTTAGGTTATCTTGGCTGTATGGGGGTTAGCACTAGGGGGTACAACATTTCTCTCGACATTCTTCTTGTACCCCCCCCTTGACCTAATCACACATTCATGCATAGATTCTAAGAGCTTACCCTCTTAGCATCCTGGCTCGCTACGTTGCGCCCGGGAGACACCGACCAGAGCACTGGGAGGTCGCTAAGAGGGTGATGCGCTACTTGTGCAGTACGTCGGGCATGGGGCTCGTGCTTGGAGGACGGGCTCGAGTTGTCCTCACTGGTCACGCAGACGCTTCCTGGGTTGACGACTTGGCTACGCAGCGGTCGTCACATGGTTACTCCTTCAGCCTTGGTTCCGGCTCTGCTTCTTGGCGGTCTACCCGCTCGTCTTCTGTTCTCAGTTCTAGTTGTGAGGCTGAGATCTACGTAGGGGCCATGGCTGCACAGGAGTTACGCTGGCTCACCTACCTGCTGACCGACTTGGGAGAGCCGCCTCGTTCTCCTCCAGTTCTGTACGTCGACAACAAGGCCATGATTGCCTTGTGTCAGGAGCACAGACTGGAGCACAGAACGAAGCATATCGCTCTGCGCTACTTCCTTGCTCGAGAGTTGCAGCAGCGTGGTCAGCTTCGTCTTGCTTACGTGGCCTCTCGGGCCAACACTGCTGATATCTTCACCAAGGCACTTCAGCCTTGTGATCATCAGCGTTTCTGTACTGTTCTAGGCCTTGTGCCTACTTGGCCTCACTTACTTACTTCTTGACTTTGCTTGTACTGTTGTCTATATACTTATACCTCCATGCTTACACTTGCTAGGTTGTGATCACTGTCCTGTTTGTTCTCCTTTATATAACTCTGCATGTGTACTGGCCTTGTGGCCATTTGCTTGTGCTCAGAATGCGTGGTGACTTCGTGATCCACCCTGAGCTTGCTTTGCTTTTCTTGACCGGTCTTGTGACCTCGTGTTCTCCCCCACTTTGCCTATGGGGGTGTGTCAAACTTATATGCTGCTTATTGTGTAGGCTATAGTGGGGTACAACCCAATTAGGGTTTGCTACTTGTACCCACCTGCTTTCTAGTTCATTCATTCTCGTTCATTCTGCTGACAGAAGCCAACGCCGAAAACGTCCGCCTAAACACCCCCACATCTCTACTATCAGAGGGGTGAACTGCACGCCCCGATTGCGCGCCAGCAGAGGTGCGTAATCACCCGTCTTTCGACGCTCCCACTCTCTTGCCGCCACTCCTATGGAACGCCCGCACTGCCCCATCAGAGAGGGAGAAAGCAATAGCGGGTCCGCGACACTGATCTCTAGAGCGTGAGCCTCTCCATCCATTGGTCGGCGCACAGCAACATCAACCCACTTCCCCGGCACCACTACACTATCGTCCATTGTCACCACCGCCCCTGACGCCTTAGAGATCCTCGCCACCGCAAATTTCACCTCGTCGTGCACCCAAGCTGCACCATGCTGGTGCTTATCAAAAATGTAACTAGCTAAGCTTAGGAGCCATAGCTAGGTTACGAGAGAAGGGAGAGGCACGTGAGCGAGAGTAGCACAAAGGAGAGGTTGCTAGTACCAATACCGTATCACCCCAGATATAAGCGCAGGTGCGCTTATAATAAAACAGTGTTTTTTAGGGGGGTGCGCTTATAATTGAGTCAAATTTATAAGCGCATGCGCTTATAAAATGACATATATAATTTTAATATTTTATAGCACCAAACTGTAGATCTCGTGCTTGCCTTTTCAATCGAGTCGAAGTTACATGGGGTCTTCAGTGAAATTCTCGCGCGCGCTGGGAGATACACTCGATGTGACTCACAAGGTGCCCCTGACAGCTCATGCTGACTGGACTCGCATCCAGTGCAGGGTTCGAATGTGAAGCGAACCGAATTTGCAGCACATCCAGGGCTGACGTTTCATTTTAGGCCTCCCTGATTCCGGGAAAAATTTTCCCCCTCTATTATGGGTGCACATTTTCCAGAAAAGCAGTACCCTGATTGCTCAGGGTTGTAAAGTAGTTAACTCTGATTGTTCAGGGTCGAGAACTGAACATCAGAGTAGTAACGCGCGCTTTGTTACCGGGGAAAACATCCCCACTCTCCATAAAGTCTGCGCGCTGTGTTTCCCGCTGGCTGTACACTCGACTGATTTGTGCAGGGCGGGTGTGATTGACCTATCTGGTGTGCGAGTGTAACGTTTCCCTGTCTTATTACCATGCCCAATCGGATCTCTTCATCTGGCATGTAGTGCTTGAATGCTGAACATTTCAGACGACACGCATCAGACACGCTGCGACTGTAGTTAGTCACCCTCAGAGGCGTGCATCCTGGAGCGAGTGTACCGACCGAACGGGCGAGTCACACCTGTTCGAGTCAAAGACTTCCGCTGTCAGAGCCTATTTCGACCAATCCCAGCAAAGTATATCTGACATTGCAGATTCGCGCGATCTCGATGGTAGGTGTATCAGGACGAGGTTTCGAAGAAACTTCGTCTCGATAAAGCGGGAAGGGGGGGGATTACGCACATGTGGGGGGATCACTGCGATCAATCCAAGGCGGGGTCATCGGAAGGAAACTTCCGAGAAACTTCCTCTCGATAAGTCAGGGTCCACAGAGTCGATACTCTGTTAAGTCAGGGTCCACTAACAGCCTAGTCTGTTACACTGTACTCAAAATCAGGGATAGCTAAACTATTACTCTGATTGGATCAGGGCTGAAAATTCAATAACTCTGAAATTTCAGTCTCCACGAAGTGGAAAGCCTGAAATCACCTTGAAATCAGGGTAATTACCCTGATAAAATCAGCCCTGGCACTACCAACAGACATTAGAATAACTACACTACAGCTAGAACTACATGCAGTTATACATAAATATATACATAATATATTCTGACAGTGCTTGCATCTCAAACAGGGCCCAAAATAGGTTTTAGCTCACTCTTTCAAATCAGGGTGGTAGGCCCCCCGTACCCTGACTGTTAGGGTAATTTTTCGCGTACACTGATTGTAGCAGCCTAAAAGTTCTGGTACGCTGATTTCAGCAGGGTAAAATTTCCCATACTCTGTTTCCTTCCTACGCACAAATCTTCACTACACCAACAGTTACTACTCACTAAAGTGTTGTGCACACAAGCTTTACTATCTAGATAAATAAACCATCCTAAAGCCACTAGTCAACGTCTGCTGCACTAGCAACTGCCTCGTCCACAAATTGTGCAGTGCTGGCCTTCAAGCCTGAGAAGTCCGTGGTGGATCGCCTGAGCTTCTCACCGCGGAATATGGCGACCACCTCGTACCACTCTATGTCGTACTGCAGGAGGGAGCACCGCATCAGGTGCTCAAGGCTTGTGTCGCCGAGGCTGCCGCGATCCCACGTCTTGATCAGGTTCTGCTTCCTGAAGCCGCGCTCACATTCAACCGTGCTCAGTGGTAGCACGGCGACAGACTGCCACATCCGGACGATGTTGGGAAACGAAGCACGCCACGCCTCGTCGCGCAGCATGTTCCCCAGAGCCTGATGAAACTCCTCGCCGTTGTGCTGGGAGAACATGGTCGAGGTAAACATCCAGAGCTCCTGGCCGGCACGCTTGTAGTCGAACCCTGGTAGTGCGGAAGGGGTTGAGGATTGGCATATGCTCATACATACGGGTAGGAGTGGGAGGCATTAGTCCAACAATACAGGGCCGGGTGATGAGCAGCAACAAGCGCAATGGGAAACAAGCTGGTGCTAAGTTGTTGCCGGCATGTCAATCTCAAATACCCGACACATCAGACAATCACGCTTACCAGGCAGCTTGTGGTTGTACAGCTTGTGGAGCTGGCCAAGCCACTTCCTGAAGGACTCCAGCCGCTTAGTGTCATCGGACACATACGACGCCGTCCGAAACAGCTTGGCGCCTTCCAGGAGGTTGAGGTCGCGCATGCGCCACTCCAGCTCCTCGTCCACTTTGCGGATGAACTTGAGCGAAAGCTCAAAGCACGCGGTTACATCACCCTCAGTCTCATGGCCTGGCAGGGGGCGTTCGTGCAGGGTGAATTCGAAGGAGACGGCGTTGCCATCCGCGTCCACGCCTTCCGCTTTCATTTCACGCTTATCCAGCTTCTGGTGAGCCTTGATGAAGTCAGGCAGCTGCATCTTCTCTCCGCTGCCAAAGAAGTGACAAGGGGACCTGTCGAAGTAGCGCGTCTTCAGGCGCATCCGCGTCTGTTGTACAAGGTGCGCCACGAAGGTGACGTCCACCTGCACACAAGTCTTTCTTGTAATCCTTCAGCACGACGATGGCTGCAGGCAGAACGTCAAGGAACCGCTGGATCACCTCGCCACGGGAGAGCCAGCGCACGTCGTGTATGCCCTGCGCCTCCAGATTCGTCTAGCAGTAGACGCGCTGCAGATTTTGAAACTTGGTGTAATCCACGCTGCTGCGGCCGATGTGCTCAGAGAAAGCACGCACCACGTCGTCCACCATGCCGAGCTCGGGGACTGCCTCCGCGGCATCCTTAGCTGCCAATGCCTCCCTGCGCATTCAAGTAGAGCTTGTCAGAACGTTACTTAGTCGCATATCTGGTTCTTATAAAAACTCAAATTCAAACCTCCGTACCTGTGAGCGACGCAGTGAGTCGAAGCCAAGTGTGGAATGCGCAGTCTAAGCCTCGCCACGACCCCGTTGTTCTTGCCGGTCATCACACTGGCCCCGTCCGTAGATATTCCGGAAATCTTCTGGAGATCTACCCCGATTCCTGTAAGGTACTGCACAACAGCGGAGGTTAGAGAGGCCGCATTGGCACGGTCCACGGTAATCAGAGTTAAGAACTCTGTCACCGGTGCGGTCCCTTTGAAAAATGTCGCATACAGAATCAGGTGCTTGCCATTCACCCGGTCGGTGCTCTCGTCGAGACATATCCCTATCCATGGGGATTCCAGCAGGTGGCCGCGTTGAGTCTCTTGAAGGTACGTGGAGGTGGCGCGCAGCATATCTTTGAATCCGTAACTGCGAGGACAAAACACATGGCACACGAACACACATTGCATTAGCATCTCGTCAGCTTGAGTCATGGAACAAACACAAGCGCCAGAAACCACACTTACTCGGTGTAGTAGGCGCCGTACCCTCCAGACGGAGGAAGGTCCGGCATGCCTTCCTTAGCCAAAAACCAGCACAATGGAACAAACATGGCTATTGGCGCGTCAGCCTTGCAGATGAAGAGCGCGATGTGGAGGCAGCGGATGATGTGCCGTGTAGCTGCGTCGGTGCTCTGCCACCTTGTTAGTGTGACTTGCTTCGCCTTTTCCGCGTCTGCTTTGCCCTCGTTTTCCAAGGCCTGTTTGTGGGCTCTGCTGGATGTGTGCGCGCGGATGCTCCCTAGCTGCATGTCTCGCGCCCCCTCACCTCTGACGCCGTAGGCAGTGTGCGCGTTTGAATCCCCGTGCTTGATGCAGATGGCACATTTCAATGACGACCTGCCGTTAGTCATACGCATTAAGCGAAGCCAGCTGAATTTACCAGACCATTGGGAGTCGAAAGTTGCTTTTACCGCTTCGTACTCAGCTTCTGCTGCAGCGGTTGGAGGCTTCGGCTCGGCAGGAGCAGCACGGCGTGGTGGTGATGCCGCTTGTCGTGGAGGAGGGGCGCCCCAGAGCGTCTGCTGCTTGTATGTCCCGCCCACACGCTGTCGCTTCACGGGCGCTGAGCTAATTGTGGACGGGGCTGCAGTGGCTGGCTTCGACGGGCCTTCGCCGCCATCTGGAACAAGCTCGACTGACGGGTGTGGCCCCCGGGACTTTGGCAAGGTTGAGCGCTCGCACGGGAAAACGGTGCCGACAAGACATTCAGGGGATGGCTCATGCGCAGGCTGAGAGATAGGAACGCTATAGTTCTCAGCCAGCCGAGGTAACACACCGAGAACGGAGAGACCGTTCCTGGTGCTACCAGGCGGATCTGGCTCTGAGGCAGGCATTCGGACCAACAAACGAGAGGGAAGCGAGAGAATGGCGAGAGTCTGAGAGACCCCTTGGGAATCACAAAGCCCAAGGGGCCTCAGGCAGCACAGTTCCCGCTCTGGTAGGGAACTGCATGGCATAGGATGCAAGGCCACAATGACTGCCAGGTGGTGGAAACGACAGCACGTACCCCACCTGGCGCGCAATTTGGTCCGTTGGCGGGTGCGCTGGCTTCGATGTTGCTCAACGGACCAATCGTAGGTGTGCGCGGGCATCCCTACTGAATTTGCGTTGGCGCGCCAGAGGGTGTATCGAACAAATGGTCCAGTGGGACCGTGGTGCATTTTGTCGTGGCGCGTACTGTGGCGGAATCCGCGGTACAGCAGAGTTCCGGTAAAAGGGTAGTTGAACCCCTACCCTGATACAGTCAGTGTAACAAAAAAAACTACAAGAGTACTTTTCAGCGTATCCTGATTTCACTAGGGTAAAAATCTCCATACCCTGATTTCAAAAGGGTAACTGCGAAAAAGTGGCCTATCATCAGGGCAAAAAGGGTAATATACCCTTGAAATTTGAGATTCTCAAAGCATGATGCGGGTCCGCTGGGTCAACATATGACGTGCCACAAACGCACCGCCCTGCCACCTGCAGCTGCTGAATTGGGAGCTCGAGCCGTATAGCAGCAGCAATGCCCCATTCCGCCGCGGTGAAAGTGAAATCTGAGTGAGCCGGGACCGCCGAAACCCATGCACCAGCCTCCCGGGCCCTGAAGGGATGTGAAACGGGCCAGAGTGGCATCGTCACGAGCCGAGCGGCGCAACGCTTGGAGCTCCTCTACAGCCAACTTCCGCTGCCGCGCCTGGAAAAGCCGAAGAGGAGGGGCCGCCACGCACAGAGGTAAGCTCGGCATCTCCTGGCGTATAGACGCAGGCAGCTGCTCAAGGGCCTTAGCGAACCACGGATCAAGAAACTCCGCCCCTGCGGAAGTGCTGAGGTAAACTGCAAACATCGCATCCTCGCCCGCTACCCCTAGCCGTGCAATGTCGCGCGCGGTGTCAAGAATGAAAGTGTTGGTTCATTGATGTGGGTTGGGGTACATATAACAAACCCTAACATCTGTACCCCCTAAGACAAACCTCACTACAGGCTACAACATTTGACACGCGGCCTGTGCCCACCCACAAACATAGGACAGTGGGCTCAAAGAGGCCGCCGCCCGGATCCCAAGTCGAACAGGGAGGTGCAGCTGCAGGCGGGCGCGCCTTCTGTACCCTCCTCGCTCGCTTCATCGATTGCACTCGTAACACACACTCGGCTTTGTAGTCAGATTTGTATTCACCTCACACTTACCGTATATACGGTAGAACCCGCGCACTCATAACAGCTCGGGTCAAATGAGCAGTGGGGTACGTGATCTTGAGGACGATGTACGCAAGAATAATGCATTACATCTGGTAACACCGTACTTGCAGAACACTGTGATTTATAGATCATAACAAAAGGTTAAACCAAGTCCAACAATGCCTATGTCACAGCCATGAGTGGAGGCATGTAGTAGTGACTCTGACTAACCGGGCAAATCAACCATTGCCCTGTCACACTTTCTATTCTATCTAAGCTAAGCTCAAATCAAGTAAGGAGTGCGGCATATGGAGCAAGTGGCTGAGTAGAGGACGAGGCTAAGGATGGGAACTGGCAGACGCCCAGGAGAAGGAATGGGTGGTGTTGCCCATGAGCCATGCCATTGGAAAGCTAGGTATAGGAAGTATAAAAAACGTATATAAGAATTCTATGGACCTTCACAGGTCAGGTGAGCACTGCTCGGAAAGTGAAGTTTTGGGAGAGTGGAAGGTGGAGAGTAGCGAGATGGAAGAGGGGCTAGGGGGAAGAGAGGGAGGGAGATCAGGAAGCAGGGAAGGAGGACTGGAGGGATGGGGTGAGGGGAGAGAGGGAGAAGAGCAGAGGCAGTCACCCTTGGTTGACCTATCATACCAAAAAGCAACCGGGGGCTCCTTCCCTGGACCACCCAAATTCCCTTCCCTGTTCAACGGTTGATGGCAGCAGAGCCTCCAGCCGGCCAGAAGGGTATCTTGGATGCTCGAGAAACACTCGCATCCATGCTCCGTGCATGCCTCGTAGACACAGTAGCAGCTGCAGCAGCAGCTGCAGCTGGTCCACCTGCTTCCGTTGAACCTCCTGCCGTTCCACCTACTCCCATTTCCACTCCAACACCAGCACCAGCGCCGCCACCAGCAGCAGCAGCACTGGCAGCACTAGCAGCAACAGCAGCAGCAGCAGCAGCAGCAGCAGTAGGTGTAGAGGAGAAAACGGCACTGTTGAAACTTGCTCTGGGGCTGGATGGATGCCGCATCTTACCGCCGCCAAAAGCCTTGCCACTGCCCTTCCCGCTGCTCCCTCCTCGAGAAAACGCCACTGCAAAGACGCTATTCCGTCCTCCCTCCCAACCTCCTCCTCCTCCACCTCCTCCTCCTCCTCCGCCGCCCCCCCCCCTTCTTTCCCCATGAGTCCGTGGCACTGGTGCTGGTACTGGTGCTGGTGCTGACGCTTCCACTGCAGCAGTCCCGTTTCCGCCATTGTTTTCCTTGTTCCGCCCGTTGGCTCCTGGTGCTTGGAAAGCCGACGGTAGGGAGCATGCGCTCGAATGGCCACCAGCAGCAGCAGCAGAAGCAGAAGCAGCAGCAACAGCAGCAGCAGCAGCAGCAGCTCCAGAAGCAGTAATAGTGGAGGAGTCACCAGCAGCAGTAGCAGCAGCAGCAGCAGCAGCAGCAGCAGAAACTGAAGCACTGGAGGAATGCGAGTGAGTAGGAGCATGGGCGGCGGAGGAGGCAGCATGGTTGTTATTACAGGCAACATGGTTACCAGAGGCACCATGCCTGCGGTGCGAGCCTGCTGCGCGCCGAGCAATGAGAGAGAACGGAGCGAGGGCCGCACCCACATTGTGACTCAGCACTGACAAATGTCCGTGCCCGTGCACATGCCCGTTCCCCTGCCCGTTGCCCTGCCCGTTGCCCTGCCCGTTGCCCTGCCCGCTGCCTTGCCGACGGTAAGATCCATTCCCCTCCCCGCATCCCTGCCCGTTCGCGCGCTTAGGCGCAACTCCTTCCGCCCGTTGCCCCTGCGCGCCCTGCTTCTTCTGCCCTCCGTGCGCACTTCCCCCGTGCACTCGCTCTCCCTTCGACGGGGTGGTTCCGCCATGCCCTGACGAGAACAACGCGCGCCGACAGCCTTCCGCCGCCGCAGCAGCCAAGGCGGCGGCGGCGACCGCAGCCGCCGCCGGGCGCGCGTGCGCGGAGCGGGAGAAAGGCCCCGCGGGGGACTGCGGGCGGGAGGGCATGGGGAGGGGCTCAGGCGGGGGGGAGATGGTTCCGGCGAGGTTGAAACTAGTGGGGGTGGGGGTGCCGGCGGGGGTGAGCGCGGGGGATATGGGTGTGCGCGGAAAGTGCTCCGCGGAAGGGCAATCCAGCAGCTCTGGCAGGACGACGCTCAGGGGGACGAGCTTTGCCTTCCGCTGCTGCTGCTGCGGAGGCAGATTTTGCGCGGGAATCGGATGGCCATGCGCTTTCGACGACATTCGCGGGGACGGCGCGGGGGATTGCGGAGCGGACAACGGCGCAGCCTGCTGCTTCCCCTGCTGTTGCGGCGACGCCGGCGGCTGCTGCTGCTGCTTCAGGTATGGGTTCAGCTGCTGCAGCGCTTGCTGCTCCTGCGCGCGCTGCTGCTGCCGTATCCGCTGCTGCTCCCGCCGCATCTCTTGCAGCGCCTGCTGCCGCTGCAGCTGCTCCAGCTGCTCCTCCTTCTCCCGCTCCTTCCATTCCTCCAGCGCATCCGAGAATTGCGTGAGACTCCGCCGACTCGCCACGGGCCACGCTTCCTCTAGAGCGGCGGCGGCGTCCGCCCCGCTCCCCGGACCCGCCGCGGCAGTTGCGCAGCCCGCAACGCCGCCGCCGCCGCCGCCGCCAGCGGAGCCGCTGCCGCCGCTGCCGCCGGCGGAGCCCGCGGCGCTGCCGTTAAGAGACGATGCGCGGCTGTTGAGAGCGCACGTCGGCGCGCCGCAGCATTGGGTCTTCAACCAAGGGTGCTCCAGAACGTTGCGCGCTTTGGGCCGCTTACGTGGATCCACCGTCAGCATCTGACGGACGAGATCCTTCGCCATCGACGACACGTGTCGCCAGACCGCGGCGTCGAAGTTTATGCTTCCACGTAGGATCGACCGTTTCAGCCCCTCGTCGTCGCCGTGGGTTTTACCGGCGAACGGCAGACGGCCGGTAAGTATCGTGCAGAGAACCACACCGAGAGACCAGACGTCCGCGCGTTTACCGTAACGCTTCCCCCGAACCATCTCCGGAGCCGTGTAGTATCGACTCCCCGTAAGTCCCGTCGCCGTCTCCCCCGACCCAAGCTCGATCGCTAGCCCGAAATCCGCGAGCTTAGTAGAAACCGGCCGTAGTTGCCGCTTGGCCAGATCCCCGCCGCGACCGCTGCCGCCCTCCCCGCTGCTGCGGCCGCCGCTGCTGCGCGGGCGCCCGCCGGGGCTGCTGCTGCGCCCGCTGCCGCTGCTCACGCTGCTCCCGCTGCCGCGGCTGCTGCCGTTGCCCCGGTGGTTGGTTGTGATTCCGTCGCTGCTGCTGCCGCTGCTGGTGCTACACCCATCAGTGGTGGAATCCGGTGCTGGAGCTGGCGTGAGAAAAAGGACGTTTTCGGGCTTTAAGTCGCGGTGCATGACGCCTTGCGCGTGGCAGTAAGCCACGGCAGTCGCGAGCTGGCGGAAAACGGCGCACGCGTCTCGCTCCTCGAACGGACCGCGGCCTTTGATCTCGTCGAACAAATCTCCCCCTTCGCACAGCTCCATAACCAGATACACGCGCGACTCGTCCTCGAACACGTCCTGTAATTCCACGATATTCGGATGGCCCGCCATTTGCTTCAGCAGCCGCACTTCACGGCGAACGTCTTCAACGTCAGCATCGTCTCGTAGCTGCTCCTTGTCGATCACTTTACACGCGTATCGGAACCCCGTGTGTCGGTTGCGACATTCGTGCACGGCTCCGAAAGAGCCTTTCCCCAGGCGCGTGCCTAGATCGTAGTCCTTGGCTATATCGCGGCCCGTGACGGGTAACCCGACGCACGATCCGCCTCCTCCCACGCCGCTGCAGCCGCCGCCGTAACCGGCGGGAGGTTGCAGAACCTCGACCGCCATCGCGACAATGGTGAGTTAGAGTTTTGAGCGAACAGTTTGAAGGACTCAGACCACGCGTAGGGGATTATAGTAGCGGCTGCCGCAGCAGCAACGGGATTTAATCGGGAGTGTGCAGTGGTTGCGCGGTACTAATGACCCCTGGTTCGAGGTGGAAGCTAGTATGATAGCTGAAAGCGTTAGATCCAGCCGTCTAGTTAAGAAGTGGTCAGTTGTAGGCGATGTTTCTCCAGCAGCAAGCGGCTGCTTTGATCTAATGAAATATTATCGGCAAATCTGAAAAGGAAAAGTATCCCTATGTGTAGGTTGCAACAGCAATGTGCAATGGCAGGCACCTCGAGGGTGCCGGTAACTTGCAAGGTAGTTGCGGGGTTTAGGAGGCTGGAAGAAACATACAATGCACCGGACTGAGTCAAAAGCTCCAGTCTAAGCTAGCCGAATGCTGCGGTGGCTTGGATACAACGCGTAAGCTCAGACACAGAGCGCCGAACTGGCTAGGAATCCTTGAAACAGCCATAGGCGCTGGCGCAACTGGTGCAGAAAGAAATTATGGGTCCACAGGGGCCGTCGTGTGGCATCGCAGTGTCTGGACTGGAGGAGTCGAGGGGGAGGTGGGATGACACGGCAAACGACGGGATCAACAAAAAAATTTCCGGGGATTGGACAGATTTTCCTGACCCGCTCACGCTTCGTAACTTCATAAAATCTTTCCATCACAAGCGCAGAAACTCACAATTGGATTCCATGTATGTTCTTCTGGGCGATGGAAGCTCTGAAAAAAGAAATATGGGTTACAAGTGATAAAACTTTACGCGAGGAATCCCTGGAACTAGGTTCACATGCACACTTGCGTCTGTTTCTCCCTCCGCTATTCCGCTCCCTTCCAGATTACCGGAACACGTTGGCCAGTAACCTGGGCTCACAGCCAACCAGCACACACTACCCTGGGTTCCCGCGTTGGGTGTCAAGAGCCGAATTCATGCCTCGGTTTCTGGGTGCCCAGCCCAACGTCACCCGCTGCAAATAGAGGGAATTTGAAATCGAACCGAAGAAACGGTTTGAAACCACTGTGAAACATTCCCCCTGCCCTGCAGTCACAGGTTGACATTTCGCGTCTCGGAGTGGAAGTGCCATCCATGCGGCTCGAACGTCAGTTCGGTTGAGCGTCTCGGACTCTCGGTAGGAAAAATACAAAGCACTTTTGATCAACAACGATGTGTCAACCAGTCATGTGTGTTCCCTCCAGAAAAAACGTCCAGCTATGCATGAAGCCTCTGCCAACATACCCTCCGAGCCTCGCTCACTCCCCACAGCAGCAGCACAATTGGCATGGCCTTGCCAACGGGCATGACAAAAAACATTCTGCGTTGTTAACATCTTCTTTGTTAGTGAGGCAACTAGATACAGTGACTTTATAAATAGCACAACATCGGTAAAGTATATGTTGTATTGTTAGAAACTTCAAAACGACTCACTTTCGTCTCCTTTAATAATTACTCTTGGTAAAGTATATTAGATGCGTTTTCGGGCTTGGAAATGATGATCAATTATTGGAAATGATGATGGGCTTACTTAGATACGACGATGAGCTCCTTCGTAGCGGCTCAAACTAGGTATTATACGAACCTAGACTTTGAAGTAGGTAGGAGGAAGAGGTTCTCTTCACATGTATATCAAGGGCAGTGGGCACCACCTTATCATGGTCCAACTTTCAGAAACCAACTCCATTGCCTTCCATCTTACTTACCGCCGCCGGGGTTCGAACTCGCGATCTTTCGACACCTAGCCAAACATCTAACAAGCTGAGACATACCCCGCTGCCACTACAATGCAGTCAGTAGTTATGACAGCCTATGAAATTTTGTACACTACAAACAGTGTATCAACAATTTTACCCTGACACAAACAGTGTATCTGAATTTTTAGGCTGCTGCCATCAGTGTACGGAAAATATTACCCTAGGGGTCAAGGTACTGGGGGCCTGGAACCCTGATTTGCAAGAGTGGCCCAAAAACAATTTTGGGCCCTGGAAGGGAAGCATACATTCTGCATGACGTTTCTAAATGTGCTGCAAAGGCAAATGCGACACAATTAGGTTCACAAGGGACTGTAGATGTCTACACTTAAAACATTTCCGAGCTATGTCACTGTTGTTTGAGAGTCTCAAGCCTGCCTAATCTACAGAGGGGGGTAAAACATGTTGAAGAAAAAGGCTGTATGAAGTGCGAGCCTAGAACGAAAGCACTCAGAGAAATACCAGGCGAAACATGCGCGGAAGCACCCGTTCTTTCCATGCAAATTGTTCGGCGTGCGTCCTTCCTCTCCAACCACAACACGGTCAGCCAAGAGGCGACTGATGATCCTGCCATCAGTTCATAACAGCAGCAGCAGCAACAGCTTTAGCAGCAGCCGCAGCGGCAGCGGCAGCAGCAGCAGCAGTGGCAGGAGGCGTGGGCACGACAGGGGGAGGGTTACGGAACACAGCAGACATGGGGAAGGTGCTGAGCTCAGTTGATGCTGCAGGGGCCTTCATCCAAGCAGGCTTCCTGCTTCTTCCCCCACCGCCGCTGCTCCCACCACTGCTCCCACCGCCGCCACTGCTGCTGCCACTCCTGCTGACGCCACTGCCTGGTGCAACGGCTGCTACTGCTGCCTCTGCTGCTGACCCTGATGGGTGGGTACTCGCACTCACACGTCCGCTCTCCCCTTGTCCGGAACCCTCTGGTCCCTTCCCCTGCTCCTTCCCGCTCCCTTTTCCCGCACTCCCACTCTCCTGCACCTGCGCCTGCGCCTGCTGCTGCGCGCCCTCCCTCCTCCCCTGCCTCGGAACCGCCTTGGGTGTGACATGCAGCAGCGGCCGCTGCCCTGCAAAGGAAGCAAACGTGCTGAACTGAACGATTTCTGAGTCAGGGCTAGGCACGTGCATCTGCGGCACCAAGCGCGTTCTCCTCGCGCCCTCTCCTCCTCCGCCTTCTCGCCTTCCGCTGCTGCCGCTGCTGCCGCCGGTTCTCCCTCTCCCCGCCTCCCTGCCCGCATCCTCACCCTTCACTCCATTTTCGAACCGCACCTTGCGAGGGCCCAGTTCCTGCTCTTGCTTCTCCTCCTGCTCCTTCTGCTGCTGCCGCTTCTCCCTCTCTTCCTTCCCTGCCTCTGACCCCTTCCTCCCACTCTCCTCTGCCTGTCGCTCTGCTTCCGTCGCAGCTGCTGCCGCTGCTGCTGCTGCCCTGGCACCAGGAGGAGGAGGCAGCGGCGTCGTGTGGTGAGAGGAAGGGAAGAGCGCGGAGGGTTCATCGTGGATTGAGGGGGATAGCGCCAAGTCGATACCACCATATGCCGCACCAGCAGCACCAGCAGCAGCAGGAGCAGGAGCGGCAGCAGCAGGAGAGGGCTTAGGCTTCAGGCCTAGAGCTTCCACTAAGTCTATCTCAGCGGCGAGCGAGTGGGAGAAGGAGAAGGACGAGAACGACTGCGCAAGCGCGGAAGGCTCGGGAGCGAACGGGTTGTTGGGCGCTAGAGGAAACGGCTCCCCCACGGATGTGCTGTTGCTGAAGGTGCTTATAGCGGGGTTGGGGGTGGGGACGACGGACTTTGAGGTAGCATCGACCTGCCTCAGGAGGTGTTGAATGCGGTCCACCTGGGTAAAGGGGGGAAAGAGAGGGTGGAGGGGGGGGGTCGTGAGAGGGAAGGGTAGATGGGGGAGGGGGGAAGGGGGAAGGAGGAGCGAGGAAAAACAGGAATGGGGAAAGGGAGGAGAGACGGGAGAAGCAAGGCTGAGAGAGAGACAAGGGAGGAGAGTATCTGATGTCGTAGCTGGATGGAACGGGGAGATAGTCGAAGCCGCAAACCTTACGTTTCTCTGTGCGATGCGTTTCTCGAGGCGTGTGCCTTACCTGCCGGAGGCAGATCCGCCTTACCGCTCCGCCAAAGGCTTGCGACCGACGTTACGCTTGCGCCTCACCCGCACCTTGCGTTGCGCCTCACGCTCACCTTTCGTTGCGCCTTACCCGCACCTTGCGTTGCGCCCCACGCTCACCATTCGTTGCGCCTTACCTGCACCTTTCGTTGCGCCTCACGCGCACCTTTCGTTGCGCCTACCTGCACCTTTCGTTGCGCCTCACGCGCACCTTTCGTTGCGCCTTACCTGCGCCTTGCGATCCGCCGACAGCCACTGCGGGAGGTCCGTCAGCGCGTCGAGTCGCAGCAGCAGCCGCATGAGCCCCTCGCTCGCCGCAATGCACGCCGTGCTGTCCGCCGGTCTCCCGCCGTGCGTTCCGCGCAACGCGTCCACCTGGATGACACACACCGCAAGCGGGAGACGCGGAGAGGGTGCGGGAAGCACGGGGGAAGATATGAAGACACGGAGGGTTACAAGATAGGGCAACATCAAGATCAGGGGAAAGGGTTATGGAGACGCAGCGCGATGCGACAGCAGGAGACGAGGAATTGCCTGCTAAATAGATCGCCTCACGTGAACTATTGACGGAAAAAGGAACGGCCCGATGCGGTGACGCGACAGATTGAAAGAAAGGAAGCCTCGTTTTTGTCCGCCGACGTGACAGTGGGGGAGTCGACGAGTACGATCGAAGAAACCTCGAGGTCACTTCGATTTTGTCCAATCATGGTGTTGCTTTTGAGAAGTCTCGGAAGCACCACCAATTCTCAAAAGCAAGACCAGCATAGCTGGTACGGTCGATGAGTCCACGAGGTCTCGTCGCTTTTGTCCGATCGCACGCACCTGTGCTGCTGCAGCGTCGATTTCTGCAGTCAGCGACGCGATCGACGTCTGCAACTTGCGTACTCGCTCTCCGTCCTCTTGCGCCGCCAGTCGCCACGCCGTGTCGGCCATATCGGAGATTAGTATACTATTGGGGCAACGGTGAGAACCGTACTATTGGGGCAACAGTGAGAACCGTACAGCGACGTGCGGGATCGATGAGAACCGTACTATTGGGGCGACGGTGGGAATTGTACCGCGGCGTGCGGGATCGATGTTTCTTATATTTCTTCCTTTTAGCTATCTGGCACTTCTTTTGTCGATCAAAACTGTACTCTGAGAAGTCAACCTCAGTGACTGCACGGAGTGCCAATTCGAAACTTGTGTCTGCTCTGGGCACAAGGAGTCACCACTCTGGGTGCACAAGAATCCGAACGTTTGGCTTTTCCGAGAATTTCACAGGGCTGAGTCGATCGAAACGGAAGACTGATGGGGGACAGTCAAGGGATGCGCGATGCGAAGTTGGAGGAGCTGTGTGATGCTGCTGATGGTTCTTTGTTTTGCACCACTCACATGGGGTTTTCCACCCAAACCAAATCCTGAATTCACTTTCCTGAGCTGGCTGAACCTCGTGTGACATGACTGGGATGGGGGCGCGCGCGATCAACGGTTGTGTGTGGGAGTGGGATGAGAATTCAAGGGAGCGCGAAATGTTGTGCTGAAGCCCGCCGAGGCAAAAGTTTGGTACAGCTCGGCGAAAATTTGCGGAAGACGCGTCGCGTAAGGAGACCCCGCGGGCGCGCCGCGCTGACGTGCCAAATTTCCCCGCTGTAGGTTTGAAGGATTTGAAGGTTTAGCTGCGGCGTAACCAAGTGCAAGTACAAAGGGAAAGGAAAATGCAAATAACCGATTCCTGAAAGAAGCACAAAAAAAACTAGGTACTGCCATTAGAATTGTAACAGATGTCACCAAATAGCCCATATTTCAGGATAAATTGAGGGGGTGCCGTTCTCTGGAAAATATCTTATATATAACTTGGGATTCACAGCACTGACTAGCCTCCCTAAAGTGCGTCTACAATAATGAATAACATTTCCCTTACAATATGTAGGCAATGATAACATTGAAGCGTGATTTCTGTTACCAAAGTACAAACACCAGTCCGTAAATCGGGATATGCAACGAAGAGTTAGCCCACAGGGAGAGAGGCCCGATTGTTTTGGCCTGAGGAATTTTCAAGTCGCCGCCCAGCAGCTCCCAGCTTATCGAATCGCATGATCTCTGGCCTGTGGCGCGGTGAGGGCATGCCCTCCTCCTACCTCACGCCCTCACCTGACGTTGTGTGGAAAGGTTGCAATTTGCAGCCCCACAGAAAATCTCCCAATGCTGCCCCCTTTTCGCCTAACGACCAGGCTGAGGCGACGGAACGGGCCCAGAGTCACAACCGCAGAAAATTGGTCAAGCATACGCAGCACCAGATCTAATCGTTCTTCATAACATTAAAACGCTAACAAACCAAGCGAACCGAGCTGAAACCTCTGAACGAGATGTCAGAATTGCAGTCAAACTTCATTGTTACGCCAGCTTTTTCTGGATCCCTTCAGTTTGTCCCAAGCAATGGCCCAGAGATTCTGGCTCCTCCAGCTTGTTGGGATTCTCCCAACTTTCGGCTGACGAGCTTCGTGAACTTTCGCGAGTTGTTCGTGAGTCGTCGTGGCTCCTCTTTCTGTTGATTGTGTGTTGCTGTATCAAGCAAATCCAACTTCCATGGCGGTGGTGGCGGTTGATCGTTGCCGTTCTGTCAAGTAACGAGAGCGATGGAGTGTGAGACTTGTTTGTGAGAGCAATAGCGACGTTCCGAGAGAGCTGAAGCACTCCCTTCCCTACCATTCGCAGTTCCAGCACGCAGCAGCTTTCCACTGTATCTTTCGTCCGAAGCTCCAGGCATCATGCTCTCGCAGAACACAACACAGTCTTGTTTACCAGTAATATTGCTCTCCTTCTTGGCTCTCTGTTTGTTGCCCCCGATAATGAATCTATCGGCGGTTTTTCATGAATAGATGCATACTTGATTTAGAAATCAGTTGCTGCGGAAGAATGGCGTCGGTAGTTATTCACCAGCCGCTTCTCCAAAAGGAGCTCATGCTTCTCATGGAAGAGGATAGCGAATTCGATGACGAGCTTCGCAGAGGTCTCGACGACTTTCGCAGCGACGACTCTCCACCTCCTCGCTCAAACCCGCGCTGCGCCACTTTCCCCCTTCGCTCACCCGCAAAACCCGCCGCTTTTTCCTCCGCCACCTCCCTCATCTCTCCACCTTTTGCTGACACAGCAATCGCCATCCATCCGTCACCATCATCCGCAGCGCATAGCGATCAACGGTCACACTTTACAGCTGCCGCCGTCGCGGCACGTCCCCCCCACGCGCCTCCCCCGCCGCCTCCGCCTAGAAACAGGAGCTGGCGGCTCGGTCGCCCGCTTTTCCCGGGCAGCAAGGCGCATCTAGCGATTGATAACTCCACGGCACGACTAATGGTTGGGAAGTGTGTACGCTTAAAGCCGCAGAGTGAACCACACGGTGAACTACACGATGAACCACATACTGAGCCAACTAGCGGTGGCAGGGGAAGCTCCACTGACGCGACGGACGCTACCAGCTTGGGTAGTTGTAGCAGCGGCGTGCCTGCGGGGAATCATGCTGCGGAAACGACGGCGCGCGGCGGCTTGCGCGTGCTAACGAACGAGGTCCGCGCGCTTGAACGGCTCCGCGGATGCTCGCACGCGGTGCAGCTGCTGGGCTGGGATTGGTCGGCGGAACCAATCGGCGGAGCGGAAGCCACTGGCGGACCCGCGGCGGAGCAACGCGTTCCGTCCGAGCAGGATTCACGGAAGCAGCAGCAGCAGCATTTAGAATTTGCGGATAAGACGCAGCAGCAGGTAATTTTCGTCACGTTGCTTATGGAGCACGTCTCCGGAGGCAGCTTAGGCTCCCTGCTCTCCGCGTTTCCCGGCGGGCTTGACGAGGCTCTGATTCGTCGCTTCGCTCGCTCCCTACTGGAGAGCCTCGCCGCGATTCACGCTCGAGGGGTCGCGCATGGCGACTTGCGCGCCGCGCATGTGCTCGTAGACGCGTTGAGCGCACACGGCGGGGGGTATTCTGGAGCCTATCCTGTAAATTATCCTATGGGCTATAGCTACCCCGCTAATTGTTCCGTAAGCTATCCTCTGCTGAAGCTGTGCGGGTTTGGATCAGCTGCTGTGGAGGGAGGAGACCAGCAGCAGCAGCAGCAGCAGCAGCAGCAGCACCAACACCAGCAGCAGGAGCATGGGGTGGGTGTTGCCACGCAGATGTTGGCATGGCTGCAGGCTGCAGGGGTGGAAGAGCCGACGTCCGCTGCTGCTGGCTCTGCTGCTGCTGCTCAGGGAGACGACACCGCAGCAGCAGCAGCAGCAGTGACGGCAGTGCAGGCAGCAGCAGCGCAGGCAGAAGATATATGGTCCCTCGGATACACTGTGATAGAGCTAGCTACAGGCCAATCCCCAACCACCCCTGCGGTGGCCCCACACCCTCCGTCCCCTCTCCTCCTCCCTCTCGCCCGCACCACACTCAAGCGCCCCAAGCCTCCCCCTGGCCTTTCCCACGACGGAAAAGACTTCCTTAAGAGGTGCTTCGTTAGAGACCCCACCGCGCGGCCTACAGCGCAGCAGCTGCTGTCGCATCCGTTTGTATTGTACCAGCTCGTACCATCTTCCTCTCCACTCCCACCCCCTCCTCTTCCCCTGCTTCCTCCTCCTTTTCTCCCCACTCCTGCTCCATTGTACGGGTTTCCTTGCTTCTCGTCCTCCCCATGGGTAACTGCTGCTGCAGGAGCCAATGCATTTGCTGGCGATATCCCTGCTGCTGCGCGTGCTGCTGCTCCTGTCGGTGCTGCAGCGCTTGCTGTCGCTCCACCTGCTGCTACGGCTTCCCACCCCCAGCTATCCCAGCTTTCTCCCACCCAGGAGCCTCACCAGCTGCTGCTGCAGCGGAGAAGGCAGGAGCGGACTGAGGAGCAGCAGAGGCACGAGCTAGCTGGAGCGAGCGGGAGAGTGGGCGGGAAAGGTGGGGCTGCTGAGGGGTTGCGTGGGTGTCGGAGTGAGGAGAACGGCCTGGTGGGTAGCTTTGGGAGTGGTGGTGACTGTGGTAGTAGAAGCAGCAGCAGTGGTAGCAGTAGCAGTAGTGGCAGCAGCAGCAGCAGCGGCAGCGGCAGCGGTAGCAGTAGCAGTGGTAGCGGTAGCGACAGCGGCAGCTGGAGCAACATTCTTGCTGATTCGACTAGATTTGCTCTTGGTTCTCTTCCTAATTCTCTTTACGGAACTGGGAATGTCACTGGCATGGAAATGTTCCAGCAGCAGCAGCAGCAGCAACAGCAGTATCATCACAATTATATGCTAAACTTGCCTCCCACTCAACACCATTCCAACAGCCGCTCTCCTTCCCATCCTCTGCAAGCTTCCCCACTACCAGCATCAGCAGCAGCGGCGGCAGCAGCAGCTTCGGGCGCTGCAAGCTTCCAGCTTTCGAGACAGCAGCACCAAGAGCAGCAGCACCTGCAACTGCTGCATCAGAAGCAGCAACAGAAACTGCAGGAACAGGTGCAGGATCCGGAGCAGGAGCAGGAGCAGCAGGAGTGGCACGGGCAGCAGGGTCGAAGTGACATGCCATTTATCCTGCAGCAGCAGCAGAATGTAGCAGCAGCGGCAGCAGTGGCCGAAGCAGGGACGAGCGATGAGCAGAGGGGGCATCTGGAGGAAATTGTGGGGGGGAAGGTGTCGGAGAGGCAACCCACGCCCTACTACCCGGTTGCTGATAGCGACGAGGAGAATGACGATGCTGATTGCGTTGGCGCTGCTGCTGGCGCCGCTGCTGCTGCTGCTGCCCCTGCTTGTGCTTCTGCTGCTGGTGCGGCCGCTGCTGCTCCTGCTGTTGCGGGTGGAAACGATGATGGTGCTGGCAGCAGGAGGCAGAGCAGCAGCAGCAGTAATGTGTGGGTACCTAGCAGCCCCTCTGCACCGCCGCTAGTCAGACGAGCAGCTAGCACCACGGTAAGTGGCAGGCACCGCAGCAGCAACAGCATCAGCAGCGGCCTCAGCAGCAGCAGCAGCAGGCTGGGGTTGGGATTGGCCGGGTTTGGCCTGGTCAGTGTCAGCAGCACTGGCACTGGCAATGGTGGTGGTGGTACCGGTGGTGGTGGTTTTGGTGGTGGTAGCACTGGCAGTAGCGGTGGTGGCAGTGGTGCTGGTTTTGCAGCCTTTTCTGCAGCATCGCGAGCCTTTCAACTGCGCCAGAACTCCCTGCCTGTGGGTGCTGCGAATCTGCCTGGATTCGCAGCGGCTCTGGCTCTCGGAGCAAGGGCAGGAGTGGGGGCAGGGGCAGGCGCAGGAGCAACGGCAGGAGGAGGGTCTACAGAGGGATTGGTCTCAGGAGGAGGGGCAGGAGGGTGGGTTACAGGAGGGTTTAAAGGAGGGGCTACAGGGGGTGAAATCACAGGAGGGGGTTTCTCAGGAGGGTTAGGAGGAGGAATGGGAGGAATGGGAGGAATGGGAGGAATGGGAGGAATGGGAGGAATGGGAGGAATGGGAGGAATGGGGCGAACGGCCAGTGGAGGGGGTGTGGGTTCACCCCCCCACGTGGGACTGCTGGCGCCTTTCCCCTCCCGGGGCAAGAGCTCCTTGAGTCACGTTAGCAGTAGCACCACTGGCCGTGGCAGTGGCAGCGGCAGCGGCAGTGGAAGTGGGAGTGGGAGTGGGAATGAGACTGCTGGTGGTGCGACTGGCCTTGGAAGGAGAAGGGATAGCGCTGGGAGTCTGGGGGGCAGTGGGGATCTAAATAGGGATGGCAGTGGCAGTGGCAGTGGCGGTGGCAGTGGCGGTGGCAGTGGTAGTGGTAGTTATGATGTTGTTGGTGGTATTGGCAGCAACAGCAGTGCTCGCAGCAGCATGGTTACATCTCAATTATCCCAGCTGATGATGAAACGAGGCATGGTGCTACGATCCCCCACGCCCTACTCTCTTGCTCCGGACAGTGCTGACGTGGATGATGACCTGGCAGCAGCTGCTGCTGGCGTGGCAGGAAGTAGCCCAAGGGTAGGCACAGGAGGAATGGGAGAGGAAGGGAGAAGAAGCAGAGAGGAGGAGGAGGAAGCAGGGGAGGAGGAGGCTGAGGAGGTGTGGTTGCAGCAGCTAGGGAGGCAGGGGATGAATGGGAGTGCGTTTGGGGTTGCGAGTGGGAGTGGAGGGGGGAGTGGAAGTATGGAAGGGGGCAGTGGGGGAAGTAGCAGTTGGAGGGAACCCCCTGTGCGTGTGCACTACCTGCACAGCAGCTCTCTGCCTCCGCCGCCACGACAGCAGCAGCAGCAGCAGCAGCAGCAGCAGCAGCAGCAGCAGCAGCAGCAGCAGCAGCAGCAGCATCAGCAGCAGTTGGAAGGCACAGGGAAGCTTGTTAGCAGCAACAGCTGCAGCGGCAGCGGCAGCGGCAGTGGCAGCGGCAGCGGCAGCGGCTTGGGTAATGGCAGCGGCAGTGGCAGTAGTGGGTACGGCGGTGGTGCATGCAGCAGCATCAGCAGCATCAGCAGTGGCGGCAGCAGCGCAGAGAGCAGTGGCGTCGTCTTGTGCTCTGCTCAGCGTATGGTAACCAAAGGGATACTGAAACAGCAGTCGGAGCTTATGGATAGGCGAAACAGCGATGGGAGCAGTCGGGCCAATAGCTTAGAGCGGCAGCAGCAGCAGCAGCAGCAGCAGCAGCAACAATCAGACCGTACATTGATGCTTGATGGAGCAACGGCAGCAGCAGCAGCAATGCGATATGCCAGGGAAGGTTCAATGCCTGCCCTGTCTCATCACACCCCTCCTCCTCCTCCCTTGTCGTCTCCTGCTCATGCTCCCTTACCGCCTCCTGCTGCTCCTGCTGCTGCTCCCCATGCTCTCACCAACGAGGAAGGGCAGAGAGAAGAAGCTTCTGAAGACGATGCTTTCTGTGACGAGCGTTTCTCTCGAGCCTCCCACCCCCGTCTTCCCACTCCCTACTACCCAGAACCATCTTCGGATGATGAGAGTCCAGGTGCAGAGGATTCTAGAGGTATGGTGATGGGTGGAGAGGAGGTATGGAGTCGGGACGGGTTGGAGATGGGTGAGGATAGTGTTGGGGGAGAGGCGGATGCAAGGGGTGCGGCGGATGCAAGGGGTGCGGCGGCGGTTGCGGTGGGTCGAGGGGCACATGGGGAGTGGAGAGTAGGGGAGATGGCTTTCTCAGGGCATCTTGCAGGGGGGTATAGTTCTGCAGGAGAGAAGGTGAAACGAGGGCATTCTGCAGAGTACCCCTTAGAGCACTCTGCTGCAAGTAGCCCTTCCCAAGGGCTGATGGCGAAACAGGGCTTGTGGGAAAGGAGGCGCGTCAGGTCAGGCTCGGGATCAGGTTCGGGGTCAGGTTTGGGGTCAGGTTTGGGGTCAGGTTCGGGTTCAGGTTCGGGGTCAGGTTCGGGGACTGGTTTGGGGTCAGGTTCGGGGACTGGTTCGGGTTCAGGTTTGGGATCAGGCTCAAGCTTAGGAGGATTGGGGAGAGGAACAGGAGGAGAATTAGGTGCAGGAGGAGGAGGAGGAGGAGGAGGAGGAGGAGGAGGGGGGGGAGGAGGAGGAGGAGGAGGAGGAGGAGGAGGAGGTGGAGGAGGAGGAGGAGGAGGAGGAGGAGGAGGAGGAGGAGGAGGAGGAGGAGGAGGAGGAGGAGGGGGGGGGGGGAGGGGAAGGAGGAGGAAGAGGAGGAAGAGTAGGAGTAGCAGGAAGGCAATCCGGGCACCATAGGGTCTCCTCTTGGAGTTCCTTCCCCTCGAGCATCCCCATTGAAGGGGAGAGACGTGGAGGGCAGGCAGGAGGGGGCAATGGTGGTGCTAGTGGTGCTGTGGGTGTGAGTGCTGGCAGGGGTGCACACACAGGACCGAGCATGGGAAGCAGTAGTGGTGCTGCTGGTGCCACCGCTGGTGCTGCTCCGATGATTAATTACTTTGATTGTCCTCCTTCTCAGCAGCAGCAGCAGCACCAGCAGCAGCAGCAACAGCAGCAGCAGCAGCGACAGGGGCGGCACAGGGTTTCTGCCTCAATCAGTAGCGGCTTTGGAGGGGAAAATAGCCCCATGAGCAGACGACTGCTGCCTTCTAATATCTCCTCTGCTGCTGCTAATGCCTCACCTCGCTCTGCAACCAGACCGAGTTCCAGGGGCAGGGGCAGCGGCAGTGACAGCGGCAGTGGCAGTGGCAGCAGCGGCAGTGGCAGTGGCAGCAGCGGCAGTGGCAGCGGCAGCAGCGGCAGTGGCAGCGGCAGCAGCGGCAGTGGCAGCGGCAGCAGCGGCAGTGGCAGCGGCAGCAGCGGCAGTGGCAGCGGCAGCAGCGGCAGTGGCAGCGGCAGCAGCGGCAGTGGCAGCGGCAGCAGCGGCAGTGGCAGCGGCAGCAGCGGCAGTGGCAGCGGCAGCAGCGGCAGTCCCAATGTGAGGGATGGTGGGAATGGTGTTTACCAGGAGAGGAAGCATGGGTCATCTCTCAGGAATCCCGGGACAGGCGGTATCAGTAGAGCTAGTAGCATGGGAGGGATAGGCAGCTTGAAAAGCTGGATGCTTTTTCCTGCTGCTGCTGCTGCTTTTGATCAACATGATGCTCCGGCAGCAGCAGTGGAAGCAGCAACAGCAGCAGCAATAGCAGCAGCAGGAGGAGGAGGAGGAGGAAAAGGAAGAGCGTACGCTTCCCCTCGGCCAGCATTAGCCAGGCCAGATGTAGCACCAGGCTTACCAGGATTTGTAAGAGCAGCAGGGGCAGCAGGGGCAGCCGGGGCAGCAGGGGCAGCAGGGGCAGAAGGAGGAGTTTCCGGTTTAGCATCTATGCATTGGCAGCAGCCGAGGCAGAGCAGGTTTATTGCGGAGCTTCCGGTTGATTCCAGTCCTAGGGGATATCCACAGAGCAGAGGGGATTATGTGGCAACGCAACAGCTACTGCAGCAGCACCAGCAGCACCCGTACCAACACCAGCAGTATCGTTTCTCTCAGCAGCAGCAGCAACAGCAGCAGCAGCAGCAGCAGCAGCAGGTGCTGCATGGAGGGAAAGGAGGGGGGGTGGTGATGCCTGCTGGTCGCAACGGGTCCTCTAAGTGTCTCTCGCTTGCTGATATTCGCAACTCTGCTTCCTCCAAGGAACGGGCCCTTAGAGGCAGTGAGGGGAGTGGTTCGTCATGAATCAGGCCTGGTAGTGCTGGATTCGTAAACCTAATTAAACCCTAATTACATGGCGTATGTAGAGCTTATATAAGGATTAAGCATGGTAGGTAGAAAAGTGGCATTTGTGTGGAATCTCACACCTTTGCTAGTGTATATCCTAGTGTACGGACCTTACCGGTATGTTTCATATGCGTATAGAGGTTTTTTTTTTAAGCTCACCTCTAAGGAATTTTTCGACATTCCTTATCGCGTACAAGACCAACCGTTGTTCGCCCGTTGGACACCTTCAGGACCACCACGTCGGCGTCTGGTTTCCCCCGTCTGAGCGTGTTGGTACCTGTGTGGACGGTGACACCTACGCTCCTCTAGCCGAGTTTCGTCGGGAGCCCCACTCCGGTCTTTTCACTCTGCACATTGCGTCTCCTCAGGTAGCTGCGTCCGGTCAGGTAGCTGCGTCTGGCCAGGTTGCTGCGTCTTGCTGCTGTCGGTCGCTCACCCACCCGACAGTCCTGTGGCACCACCGTCTTGGTCACCCGTCCCTCCCTCGCCTCCGCAGCATGGCTAGCCAGCGTCTTGTCTCGGGTCTCCCGCGCGTCTTTGCGTCGCTCCCTCCTTCGCCTGCGCCGTCGTGCACTCCTTGCGTCGAGGGTCGGCTGCGCGCCGCTCCTCACTCCTCCTCCCTTCGTCCGGCCACCGCACCCTTCCAGACTCTCCACTTGGACGTCTGGGGCCCTGCCCCTCGCCCTTTGCCCGAGAGGGAGAGCTTCTTTCTGGTGGTCGTTGACGACTACTCCCGCTACACCACCGCCTTGGCGAAGAAGTCCGACGTGACTTCTACGCTGATCCGGTGGTTGCTGGCCACTAAGACTACTCGTGGCCGTCGTGTCAGTTGTCTTCACTCCGACCGTGGGGGTGAGTTTCGCTCCGGCATTCTTCGCGGATTCTGTAGCGAGCAGGGCATCACCCAGTCTTGGTCGCCAGTCTCACGGCCAGAGGCTTCACCGACCAGTCTCGGACCGGGTCCCCTGGTGTTGCTTCGTAGTTTCGTGTCTGGGGCTGCCTTGCGCTTGTCCGCAACACCTCTGCGGACAAGCTTTCGGCTCGCGCCCTCCCCTGTGTCTTCCTTGGTTTCCCGGTGGGCTCCCCTGACTTCTCGTTTTACCACCGGCCCCTCCACCGGTTCCTTGACTCCCGTGACGTCTGCTTTGACGAGTCCGTCTCCTACTACGCCCGATACCCGTGTCCAGGTCTCCCGGTCCCCCCCCCCCCTCCCCTTTTTCTCGCCCCCTCTCCTCCTCCTGCTCCCGCTCCTCCGGTACACCCGCCCCCCCCTGGTCCTGCCCCGTCAGGTGTGTCCCACGCTACCCCTCCCCCCTCGGTCGCGCGTCAGGTGCCACCTCCTTCCCCACCGTCGTCCTCGTCGTCACCGCAGCAGCCGTCGGCACTACCGCGTCAGGTTGCAGTGAACTCTGGGGTTGTTGGTGTTGGAGGCACAAGCGCTGGAGGTGCTGGAGCTGAGGGTGCTGGAGCTGAGGGTGCTGGCACTGGATTTGCTAGTTCTGGGGGTGATGGAGCTAAGGGTGCTGGCACTGGAGGTGCTAGTCCTGGGGGTGCTGGAGCTAGAGGTGCTGGTTCTGAGGAGGTTGGAGTTGGAGGCACTGCCGCTGCGGCGCCTACTCCGCCTCCGCACCGCTACCCAGCGCGTCACCAGGCTCTGTGTAGGCTCGAGCGTGAGGAGCAGGTGAAGTTGGAGCATGAGAGGTTGGGGTTGGAGCAGCAGCAGCAGGAGCAGCAGCAACAGCAGCAGCAGCAGCAGCAGCAGCAGCAGCAGCAGGAGCAACAGCAGCAGCCGCCGCAGCAGCCACAGCCGTCACTTTTGCAGCAGCTGTTCCCACCTGTGAGTGGCCTTCGGGCCCTTGGTCTTCCTTCCTCTCCTCCAGACCGCTCATCGCCTCCTCCCGCCTACGGTCCTACGTTTCCTCCTCCGGACACGTCCCCGGCTGTTGTCTCTTCTCCCTGTTCCCCACCCGCTCCTCCTGTTGTCCCGCACTCTCGCTTCCGCCCCTGTTCCCCGCGTGCTCGTTCCTCGTCTCCTGTTGACGACCTTCGCACTGTCCTCCTCTGTTCTAGTAGTCGTCGTTCTCCGTCTGAGTCTGTTCTCCCTTCTCCTCCTGAGTCGTCTCTTCCTGTCTCCTCTAACCCCATCACTGACTACTACTGTGCTACTCGTCCAGTTGTCACACATGTTCTCGCCTCTCTTGTCACGGACCCTCGTGCCTCTCCGTCGCCTGTCTCAGCTCGTGTTGCCGCTGTTGGTGACTTCGTTACCAATCGCCGCCTTGACTACGCCACCAGCGTGGTGGCTGCTCCCCCTACCCGTCCTCTGTCCGCCGGGGGTGAGTCTGCCCTTGGCTGTGACGTCCTAGAGGACAGGCAATTTGAGCTGGAGTTCTTGGTAGCCGCTTCTCCCCACCTCTGTGCCATGCTGCTATCCCCTGAGGGAGACCCCGACGCCCTTGACATACCGAATCCTCGCACGTACCGTGAGGCAGTGTCAGGGTAGTGGGCTTCTTAGTGGATAGCAGCCATGGACTCAGAGATGACGTCTTGGAGATCCACATGCACCTACGTCGACGCAGTTCCCCCGCCTGGGGCGAACGCAGTCGATGGCATGTGGATCTTCAAGGTGAAGCGGCCGCCCGGATCACCGCCGATCTTCAAGGCACGCTACGTGGCTAGGGGCTTCAGTCAGCGTGAGGGAGTTGACTTCTTCCATACCTTCGCCCCGACCCCGAAGATGACCACTCTTCAGATGTTACTTCACGTTGCAGCACAGCGAGACTACAAGCTGCACTCCCTCGACTTTTCAATTGCCTTTCTCCAGGGCCGCCTGCACGAGGAGATCTGGCACTTTCCCGCCTGGGACCCACTGGAGCCTGAGACGACCAGTCTACGGTCTCCGCCAGGCGCCCTTTGAGTGGCACGACACTATTCGCTCCACACTTGCTGACCTTGGTTTCCGACCTTCTACTGACGTCCCGTCTCTGTTCGTTCGTACTGGGCCCACACCTTTCTTCGTTCTTGTCTACGTCGACAAACTGGTCTTCGCTACAGCAAACACGGTTGCGCTGGTTGAGGTGAAGTCTGAACTGCAGAAGAGACACACGTGCACTGGCCTGGGTGAACTGCGCCGCTACCTTGGCTTACAGATCATTAGGGACAGAGCCGCTCGCACCATTACACTGACCCAGTCACACATGGTGCAGCAGGTCCTTCAGCGGTTCGGGCTTCAACACTCCACCACACAGCCCACTCCTCTTGCTGTTGACCACAGACTCACCGGCCCTTTTCCCGACGAGCCCTTTGAGTCCAGTGGTCCCTACGCAGAGCTTGTGGGCTGCCTCATGTACCTGATGATTTGTACTCGTCCGGACCTCACCTTTCCTCTCAGCGTCCTTTCTCGCTTTGTTGCGACTGGGAGACAGCGTCCTGTTCACTGGGCGGCTGCTGTGAGGGTGGCGAAGTACGTGGCGACTACATCAGGCATGGGGCTTGTGTTCGGAGGGACAGAGTCAGTTGTGCTGACCGGTCACTGCGACTCCTACGCTGACGACGTGCAAACCCAGCGGTCTACTCAGGGGTACTGTTTCAGCTTGGGCGCTGGAGCTGTTACGCGGAGGTCTACTCGGTCGTCGTCTGTGGCACAGTCTAGTGCAGAGGCAGAAGCTGGTGCCATGGCTGCGCAGGAGCTGCGCTGGTTGACCTTCTTGCTCACCGACCTTGGTGAGCGGCCGAGCTCTGCACTGACCTTCTTTGCTGACAACAAGGCCATGATCCTCCTGTGTCGAAAGCCTCGACTGGAGAGCAGAGTAAAGCACATCGACGTGATGTACTTTCTTCTGCGAGAGTTGCAGCGACGCGGCCAAGCACGCTTGGACTTCGTCTCAGCGGCCAACACTGCAGACATCTTCACCAAGGCACTTCCGCCTGGTGACCACCACAGGTTCTGTCTGCAGTTAGGCCTTGTTGAGACTGGCCCCCGTTTGCTGTAGACTTGCTTCTTCTTGCTTGTACTTGCATTCATATATATATGTGAACTCTTGAACTGGCCCTGTGGCTGCTTGCTTGTGCTCGGACTGTGTGGTGACTTCGTGATCCACCCTGAGCCTTGTGTTGTTGCTTCTCTTTACTGGTCTTGTGACCATCTGTGTTTGTTGGTCACTCTGGTTGTCCCTCACTTAGCCTATGGGGGTGTGTCAAACTATGCATGTTTGTGTAATATGCTGTAGTGAGGCACATAGTAGGGAGGATAGCTTTCTAGGGTTGAATTTGTACTCTCACCCTTGCTAATCTAACACATTCCGTTGCATTCTATTTTTGAGAGCTTTGCCAACCTTCGCGCGCTGCATCTACCAAACCATGCATCGCTGGCCTGGCCGAGTCGGCCTACGCCTCGGGACTAGCACAAACCTCGATGCCAGCATCGCACTAGCTAGCTCGCACACACCGCGTCACCGTTTGCATTTTCGCCTATAAGTATTCGCTCATGCCTTCGCTCATACTTTGTACTCATTTTGACACCTTAGTGCAATCCTCGCTACATCGTTCCATTGCACCCGTAACACTTTGCTATCAGAGCCACTTTCCTTCCGGGCCGCGCATTTCCGCAACCAACAGATACTAACTCTTAATTTTTTTTACTCGAAGGGACACACGCCCGTTAGCGTACTAGGAACCGCTGTCCTCGCGCTCTCTTGTAAGCGCGTGCAGCCACGAATGCGAGCCTCACGCAGGAGCGCCTGAACGCACTGTTGCAACAACTGCACGAAAGCTCCGAAGAATTTGTGGTGCTAATGGCAGAACGCACGTTGCTGCAGAACGACATCACACGGGCGCAACAAGCACAATCGCAAACGCAAGGAACAGCAGCACTAGGAGCACCATCGGCCGCCCAACACGAGCGTGTGGGACAACCCTCGAGTGCCGCTAGTGATGGCGTCGCACGCAATGACGTTCGC